GGCAGGTGGCTGAATTTTACGGAGACTTGCCACGGTCTCCAGCCCTCCTCCTTTCTCATCCGGGCTTGGGTCCGGCCATGGCGGAGTTCGGGACCCGCCATTATCGTTACTTCGTAAGCCTAATATTTTTTGGGCAATGGTAATAGAAAGAAAAAATGCACTCTACTTTTCATTGTCATTGTTTAAAATCTTCTTATGACATAAACCTGAAGCCAAATTTATAATGGCCCAGCAGCCTCAGAAATTGATAAAGTTCAAAAATGTTACCTCACTCGCTGCGTTCGTTCGTTCCTTCATTCATTCCTTAATTGGCTCATTCACTTTCATTTATTTATCATTTATACCTTATGTTGATTTAGTTAGAAGACAGGTAGGTCAAGGCGAATATTGGCCTTACAGTGATTATCGTATGACTCTCGCGCGCTAACATAACCATATCACAGATCCATGCTGTTCACATTGTTCACAGGTCATCATCAGTGTTGCTCACGTTTCTCGGCTGGCTGCCCTGAAGAGTGTAGGGTAAATTGGCAAAAGTGAAAATTCCTTGCTAAAGGGAACCAAGGACTAATCAGAAAAGTTTGCGCCACGCTTCGATTCTAACTCAGACTTTAGAGTGCAAGCGAAACTACTATTGGTTGCCCCACTGCTCCACATTCGTTCATTCGCTTATTCATCCTTTCATTCATTCAGTCATTCATTCGTTCGTTGGTTCTTTCATTCATTCGTTCATTCATTCACTCATTCGTTCATTCACTGCCTCTTACTCTTCTTAATGTCCTTGTTCCTCTCTTTTTTCCTTCTTTCGTTCCTTTATTTGTTCTCTGATTCATTTGCTTGTTGGTACCTTTTATAGCACACGCCTGATAGCAATTCAACCATCTGTTACTCTAGAAACTGTCGTTCAGCACACTGATATCCTCCTTCAAACATCAGTGTCATTTTAGGAGGACGCATCTCTCCCGTTCATTTGTCTGTTTCTGCTGCCGGAATTACGGCACGCCTGACGCCGCACCTCAGAATGTTTAAACAAATCAGTTTCTATCTGGAAGACGATTTCAAAGACCAAAACAAGGAACGTGGAAAGAAAATCAAACTCTGCGGCAGGTAGATTGGGCAGCGACTGCTAAGGTTAGCAAGAGAGCAGAAAGCATTGCCTAAGTAAAAGACGGAATGTTTGAAACTGGCAGCGTAAGAAAAAAAGTATTAATGGTATTCGACCTCAAACATGATCATTTCGAATATCAATTTTTGTGGCAACTTCTTTGTCTTGTATAGAGACCCTCTTTTGTTACCTTTGTCTTAAAAAATAATGACGCTTTCTTTAAAATTATCTTAAACGATCCGAAAGGAGTGCGTATCCTCATTTTCACTAAACGCTTCAATACATAAACTCTTTTCCATAAAAAATGATCTGAGAGCGAATCATTACTAAATTTATTGACTTTCATCTTGATCGAACGTCACTAGCTCGTTTGATTAACGACAACAACGGGCCATTAGTGATATTGATAATGCCTGAGAATCAATTTCTTAGTTTCACGGCGTGTTGCCAAGCAACGCATTGGAGTAACCTGCAAATAGCCTGTCAGCCGTTGGGGCAGACCAGAACTTCCGACGAATGCGCTTTCAGCTAAATGGACGTCAAAGGCGTACTCACAGAAGTGATAGATGCAATTGCGCGCTACAAAAAGATGTCAATTGCTGAGGCTCAAGAGTTAGAGTTGGACGAGAAGTTCTACGAGGAGGTGATCAAAAGCTACCGACGGAAAATCAAGCGGTGCATCGACGCCAAGGTTAGTGTTCAATGTACACTTCTATGCCTTCGAAATTCGTTTAAAGTCTTCCGGGAACGGATGACCTCAACAGAGGTGAGGATTAAGAAAAGGAGGTTAGTAGAACTGGTCAAATAGGTTAAAAATAAATCTTTATCAAACCATTTACTCCAAGCCTTGAGTTTCTAGTATGGGATCCAAAACACGGCAAAAATCGACTGGAGGCCAACATGGACGACATGGAGGAACAAGGCAGAGGCAAATCTACATTCAGATATGAATGTATCATTAACAGTGCAGCAGCCAGTGCTTTATGACATAACTGGTGGAAACTGAGAATACAGCTTACATCACAAACCAAGCGGCTCAAAGTTATGATATCAAAAAATAACAGCTTCAAAATCAAACTTTCTTTCAATGGCGAAATTGCATGATTAAATGTCTTTACTGAAAGGGGAGCCCAGACGTTGTGCCAAAATTAGTTCCGGTAAGTTGAGAAACTTGGGTTGTCCGCTGCTGACCAATAATGTCCGTCCATGATCAAAACCTACAAACTTCATTACTTCATTATTCCGTTAAGCCGAATGACGGTTGGGATCAAATCGGCCATATTGGACGAGGATCGGCACTTCTCATGAGCCACTGAAAACCGCTCAAAAAGAGATGATTGAGGTGGCGGGTGGCGTTGACTAGTGTCCATGACTCGCCAACTGTTTTAATGAATTACACATTGTGGAGAGGGCTCGTCGAGAAGCCGAAAACTTTAATATACTGGCTACCGGAGCAGGTGAATATGAGAAATGAAGGTCACTTTCATCTGAGTAAAACTGAGCGACTCATTTGATTGCATGATCAACAATATGGAAGACAATAGTGATTTTTATGTAATAAAATTTTGACGTTGAAACTGAATTGGCATCGGTCAGCATCATGGAATGAATCCTTCAGGAATCTACTGTTAAATTCAACAGTATTACATTTTAATCTGTCATGGACTTACCAAATATAGGACAGATGCGTCATCGGCACCATCAAAGAAGACGTGACTTCTGGAACAAACAGTAACTATCAGAAATCGCTTCCTATTATATCGCCTTTGTGTTTGTTCGTTGGCGCATTGTAACTGTTTAATTCTTGCGTATACGTGAGTGGCAAATTTTCGTACCGTTTAAGGGAGACCTAAGCAAATTGGAGTGAAGCGAGTTAGCAACATGCCGTACTATGATGGAAGTGTGCTCAGGTACACCAATGTAGTGTAGTAGCCACTGATGAGGAAATGACTAGAGGTTATCCTCTTATGCTAAACTGCTTGTGAAGGAAGAAACATCATGCTCCGTGAACCTGGAATATGAACAGTGATTTTTCTCACAGGTCACTTTGTGAGCTTGCTTTAATGAGAACAGCTTTCGGGAAAGAAAAATGAATGCTAGCCTGCTCCGTTCATCTAATCCTTGATCAAAGTTGTCGAGAACGACAAAGGAGCAAACTGGCACGAATGAAGTTCCAAAATACTTGGTATGAAGATCACTCTCCATGGCGCTGTAGCTTAACGACAAACTCACGGTTTCAGCCACTGATTGAACCTGCTCTCTGTAACATATGTCTATTCAGACAGAAGCTAATATGACCGTTAACTCAAACGAAAGGTTGGCAACCACGGTTAGTGAAAAGCAAAAAATTTAATGTCGTCTATTCCCAATTAAATGTACAGAAAGAAGTAATTATAAAATACAGTCAAATGCCTAGTTATGTCTGTTAAGGCAACTGGCAATGGCTGACATGAAACGTTTAGGACAACTACTGCCAGAAACTGTGTCAGAAGTACCCACGATTTGCAATCGCTTTGGAGCAGGTTAATCGTGATGGAAACGATAGCAATGAGGTAAGTTTATGTGTTGGTTTATGATTTTATAACTGAGGAAGTCTGTTGATAGCCAGGAATCGTCAGTTTTGTGTTTACTGTCACTACTTTTTATAGGATTACATTGAATGTCTCAAAATGTTCCAGAATTAGGTTTAAAATAGTTTAATTTGAAGTCGAAATGATTGTGGTGGCTGTATGCAGTGAAGCTCTCAGCAGTTTGTCCTCACGAGATGCATAGATGACCACCAGCTGTTCAACGCTGGACCGCTGGGGCTCACTACGGCCGACAACTTATTGATTACGAAAACGGTAAACAGTTCTATGAGGATACACGGATAGCAAATGGGCATCAGGATAGGTAAATCGGGCACATTTAAATCCTACCAAGATCAGTTATTCTTGTGTAATTTTTACAAGATTATTGGGTGGTACTGTAACGATATGTAAACTCTTCTATTTCTGTTTCTATCCTTGTTAAATTTTATGACTCAAATACTTCTGTCCGTTTAACGACTGTTTAATAAGTTGTGATTCAGGTTGACTTGAAACGACACAGAAGATCTGGATCATTTTCCAGAATCAGCCGCGATTCAAAAGGTAATGTTTTTGGCCATGCTGCTGACATACGAAGGCAGTTTCTTCGTTTTCCAATGCAACCTATCGTAGTTCAGGGTATGACCATGAATGCGTTGAAGCTTCGGCCACAGCCGTAATTCCGGAACTGAGGACCGAGATCAGGCAGATTAAACACAAACTTGGGGTCATGACGGCCAGCCTTCATGACCTGAGGAGCAAACTGAAGAGTGAAGATTTGTTTAAACGTGGCAGCAGCGCAAATTCGTCGCTGAGAAGCAGAACAAGCGTTGACTGGGAGAAACCCGAAACAGTGCAGGGAGCAACTCAACGCTTCAAAAGTCAGGTAACTTGCTTCTAGCTATAAACTATAAAACGCTGACGAAATAACGAAACTTGCCGAATTCAGCAGTGACCTGCGAAGTATTAACGGAAGTCCTCAAAGAAAGAGATTTCTGAGTTCAATAGTTTTAGGCATGATGAGAGCTCAAAATCTGATCCCTTGTTCAGAAATCAATGTTTGAAACACAGATTACATTATGGAACATTATGGCATAAGCTATTATCAGTATAGCAGTCAGAATTATAAACGATACTCTAACGGAGTGCGGTCTCTGGCGCAAGCGAAGCTGAATTGTACGATAATCGACAAGACTTCGACAGAGCATGCGTATATTCTTTATAGTCGATGACAACTTATGGAGTCTGCCCAACAATTTTGCCCCTTCTTCATGTCCCTCTCATCTTGGCACCATTCGTATGAATTTTGCCTTGCTCACGCTACTCTCTACTATGCTATTCAATGTTGTAAAATATCATTTCTATGTACGCCATGGTGCCCTCTAATACTATTGATGACCTGAACGCCATTTTATGAGATTGTCTGTATCCTCGTTCTCCTACTGTTCTCGTTTGTGCATATTTTCTGAAATATGGTTGAATTGAACTAATTTTAGAATCAACAGTCTCGAGAAGCACCAAAGATCAAATTCACTAAAATGTTGAATGCCAACAAGCCAATGGCACCTGATCTCTCAGAAAATTTGCCGGAAATGATTTCAGACAGCAAACGTGCAAACCAGCGATTAATGACGCTGAATTTCAGTTCTTTTGAAGGTGAAGGTACAGCAGCGGCTTCTGTTGACAAAAACAAAGAACTGAGTTCCAAGATACCTCAAGAAAAGTTGAAACAACCGGAACTTCCCAAGGTCGCAAGGTCAGCCGCACATAACAGAATGCCGCTTATGAATTTTTTTGATCAAACCAGTCAGTCAGATGCCACATCTAGCTCTAACGACGATGAGCCGGGGCAGAAAGAAACGGCGACCGTTCAGACGAAATCTGAAAAACCGGAGGCGATGCCCAGTCAATCTGCAGATCAGGAAATGAAGATGACGCCTGAAGATAATAAGTAAGTAACTTCAAAACGAAGCTTCCAGAATTTCAACACTTTGTTTCTCCTAATAGTTAGTCAGTCACTTTCCAGATCGCTTATTGTTTTCTGGAAGCGCAGGCAGACGTATCAGACAGTGTCTTCAACGCTGCCGATCTTGTATCAGGTTTTGAGTTTCGGCAGAACATAACCGGAGTATGCTACAGTATGCTTTGAGACCTTTCACAGGTTATTCCTGTCGTCCCCAGGATTTTTGTCCCGAAGGTTGAGCAAGAAGTAACTCTTTCGCTTTTTCGGATACCTGAACTCTGAACCTGCAGTCCAGGAGTATATTGCAGAAATTCAGTTGCAATCTCCTCTACCTAAAGTCATAGTTTTACAGCTATGATCCACAATTTGACTCCATGGGATGAACACGGGGATGAGGACAGATTTGAATACAGACTGATCAGCCTTTAAACCCAATTCTTCTGTAGCCACCATGGTTCAGACCAGTAATACGCCGCTGGCCATTACAGTTCGTCTGTTGATCGACTCTTTCCATGTTCTATCAGCAGATTTATTTTCTAAACATATCATGATACAGATGATAAGGTAATTAATATTAAAAACGGAGAAGAAACATTGCCGTTGCCGATCCCAGGTCCGGATGGGAAAGGAGGACGGCTGGAGAGTGTGAAAATCTCCGTAAAACTTGGCCACCTAACCCTCATGGTATTGACGTCATTGAACATTATACCGCTTAGATTGTCACTCGGCTAACCAAAGGCCCCGCACTTCAGTAAAGCACGTTCTCGAATCCGTTCTCGAACTCGAGATCAGTCTGTTGTTTGTCTGATGCTCTACGGACTATCATTCCAAACCTCTCCGATATCAACATTCCATGACGTACTGATAATTAATTTCGTGATTTTGAAAATTAAATATATTTTTGTCAGTAATCTTTTGTTATGTCGCTTAGAAAAGTCGAAATCGAAGCAGCCCAGACGGAAGATATTAAAACATCGAGCGGCTCTGATGATGATGGTGCTTCTGATAAAGTTAACCCCCTCATTCTCGGTGCATCCAATCAGGAACCGTCTGTCGATGTTTCCAAAGAGGTCGAAAGTGGCCCGTAAGTTGAATTTTGAAACTTTTCGGCAGTTTTGAAATACATGCCTTTAAAATTCATCGTATACAATGTAATTGATGTAAAATTTGTTTAATAAGCTTGATAATGGCGAACGCCATCTTCGGTTCAGAGGGATATTAACAGCAATTTAGAAATTTTAGCAAAGTTTTTAATCCGAGCTTTAATCTTGACCATCCTAGTGATGATTGGAATAGTATTTTTCTTTCAATTCCACAACATCGTCCATCAAGCATCATTCTGTTGCTAATATTCTTTATTTATTTTGCCTAAGAGTTGCCATGCGTTCTTCAGAAGATACATGGAACAGACGAAAACCATTTTTCCAGCGCTTTCATTTGTTTTAATACGGGAGGTTGTCTCCAGTTCTTTCTCTCCGATTATTTGCTTCGCATCTATAAATTTTTTTCTGTGCACTTAGAGGCAAAATCTGGAACGACCATTGACTCAGAAAGTATAAACCAGATAAAAGGACAAATTCATGTGGAATCATATTTTATCGATCCAATCATATTTTAGAAACAATCTCTCTGGGATGATGGGCAAATTTGTACTTCACTGAGAGAGTGGCGGAATATTCACAAAAATTTTCTAGGAGAAGAATTAATGATAAAACATACTGCTACAATTTCATTGAAAATGCACTTCGACGGCAGCGTCTATAGTTTGAAGGTAGATAGTGATGCGGCAGTAAAGAATCATGTCAGCAGCCGTTAACCTTAAGAAGTGACACCTAGCCCAAATAAAGTACGATGGCTCTGAAAGCGGAAATATTACATGCGCTTAAAAGTGGTTAAGAGAAATGCCCATTCGATTATGTTGAATCTCCAATGGTTCGAGGACCTAACCTCAGTCTCTTAGGAAAGCCGAGTGGGGGCAGTTGTTTTCCTTGTAGTGAGGTTCCCATGTCACGCAATGTGCAGTGGCATTTTTCCGACTGCCTATGCATAGGGGCGTGTTCGACGTTCGC